GCAAGCTACCAGTGAGGAGGCACGGTGCCTTTCCTGCCTTGCTTGTCCCCACTTTGTCATGGACCAACCAGGTAGTCCTCAGGGCCAGCCAGGCTGTGAAACGTACTGGCCAACGCACAGGTTGCAAAGCCGGAGGAGTCTGCTGCTCCCTGCTGCACCCGGTGCGGTGGGATGGGTGCTGGAGTGAATGAGGAGGTGCTGAGGAATGGGAAGAGACTGCAGCGTTGATGCAGCTAGTGCTCTGACTTAACAAGCTTCAGCAGTGGTGCTTGGCCATTGGTGTTTTAGCTCACATATGACCCTTTGTATACATGGCAAGAATATTGCAAATTACATGCTCAGCCGTATCTTATATGTATGGGAAAAAAATGTTTTATTTTTTTCTCCTTCATCTTTCCATAGAGTTTGTGGGTGTTGATGAAAATAAAATTTGAAGTTCATTTTATCTACCTCTTGACCAGAAATATACCTATGGTAGGAAAACTAACACTGTGTTTAAAAGAAAAAAAAATAGTTAGGAAACAGCGGACCTTCAGTTGTGGTGCTTTGGCCACATCAGCCACATGGATAATCTCAAAAGTAATTAGGGAAGAAATGGCAATGGGCCATCATGGTGACGGGTCATCACAATAAAAGGCACTAGGGAGATGACTCATGTGTGACAAATTCCTGGTGTGTCAGATATTGGGATGGATGGAAGAAGCTTTAGTGATATTATAAGGATGAAAACGTGAGCGGCTTCACTTGTGTCCCTTGCTTGGAGTGAATGATGGTCGCGCTCAGCTTTCTTATGGTTGCATGTTCAGTTGAAACCCTTCTCTTCAGGATATCCTAAGGGGTTGGAAATGTGCAGCCTGGCTCCTTGATGGGAAGGTATTTTTCTCCTCTTCGCCCTGCATACTGAGCAACTCAGTGTGAGGTGGTTGTCGTAGTGAGCATGCTGTGAACTTCTGTTATATCCCCTTTCCTGCAGAACAGTCACCTCCTGTTAAATCCTCCAAAATTGACTTCAAAAAGAAATACCTAAAGAACGAAATGGAAGGAATATTTCCTGGCTAGTATTTACTATGTGGAATAGGCTGAAGGGCTTGGTGAGAGCTCACTGACCTGCTTTGAGGGATGGTGCAAAAATTAACTCTTAGCAGAATATACTGTTGCAGGAGAGGGGCTGTTTACTTCTAGTGGATCTATGAAGAAAACTTGCTCTCTGGCTAGAGGACAACCTTCAAAAATTCATATGAAAATATCGTCATTCTTGTTTTGTGTTCAGATTCAGTGTTTAATATGTCACTCTCGAAGAATGAACTTTCCCCTAGAGCATCAACTTGGCTTTGCTTTACAGTTGTCTTCATCAGGTTGCAATAACTTTGGGAGATAGCAAATCTTGTGGATTTTTTTCCTATATTTTGTGTGTGTCATTGCTTTTTAAATAAGCTTTATATCAAATAAAACTACCATGTGCCTCAAAGCTATGTGAGTGGCAAACTGTGCAGCGTGGAGGCTTGAATCCTCTCTCCACGCCATCCTTGGTTTTCCCTTGTCATGGTAAAGATGAGGACGTGGAAGAGTGAGGGGGCTTAATCCCAAACCCCATTCTGCGTTAACAATGATGGGATTAAAGCCAAGCTGAACTGTCACGGTGTGTAGCGGCCGCTGCTTTTCATGGATGGCTGAAACTGCTTGTATGCATTTGCATTTTGTTAGTATGTATATAAATTCCCGCTCATTTCCATGCATAGCTATTTCCCAATGCCGGCCAAGCGGCGGTGCCATGGTCCCCACGTTAGCAGCTTCAAGGAAAAAGCGAGCGTCACCGCGGCCGCTTCCTGGGCCGGGCCGTGCAGGTGCGAAAGGCGCTCGTGGTGTCGGGCACCCGGAGCCAGGAGGTCGTGGTGACCTTGGGAAAGCAAGAACTGGCTTCAGGGGTAGCCTGGCAATGAAACGTGGATCAGAGGAGCCTGCTCGAGACTGTCTGAGCTCGTGGTGTAACTAGAGCCTGCGGAGGCAGGAGGATGCTGCCGCTGTCCAAATACGTATGGCTTGCACCCATTTTGGCCATCTAACAGGATCTGCAGGCCGGTCTCCTTACCCTGCCAGTGCCCTAGAAGGCCAAGCCAACCCCCTACCTCTCCTGCCCCTTCTCCAGGTGGCCGCTGAGGTGGCTTGGATTGGATTGGGTGGTGTAAAACCTCCTGCTCCCCCCAGAAGACCTCTGGAGAAAGACAAGAGCTTTTATTTGTTTGCTTTTAAAATCTGAACTATGAAGTATGTGAGCAAAGAATGCAATATATAATTGAGTAAATATTTGGCTTTTCATTGCAGAGGGAGGGAAGGGATTTGCTGATAAGTTGTTTATTCATATGATAGTGTTTCTTCTCTTCTTTTCCATCCGTATTCCTACTTAGTAGTCGTCTTTGCTTTATGCCATGCAATACCTTCACATGAAATTAAAACTAATGTCAATTTTGTGCTTAAACAGTTCTATTAACATAGACTTGGTCTCACCCATGGTGCTTACTTGTGTGCAAGAGCTGGAAAGCTGCTTCCATTTCTAGGAAGGTACCTTTTTGTGGTTTGGACGTATGCCTTCTCATTTGGTTTCTTCTTCCACTGTATCGGTCTATAATTATGCCAGATCAGGTATTTGGGGCAGAACCCTCGTGCTGAATATATTAAAATAAATTTTTACACAATAGGTGAAGGTGAACCTGCTGGGCATAATTCAATGCTTATAAGAAGTCCTGGATGCTGAGCATGCACGTGTGCTCTGTCACAGAGCTGTGGATGGCCTGCTCTGCTGTGTGTTCTGCTCTGTGAACACTTCACCAATGTCAAGGCTGGGAAGAATGGTACCAAAGTGACCTTAATGCACCTCTTCGCAGGTTGTCAACCTCTGTCTCTAATGACTACTTTTATTAATCTATTAAGGAAGAGTATTTATCTCTGGAAATCAGGGTGGCAGCTACTCGGCACAGACGGATCATGCATCCAGGCTTTTCCCAAGATGATGATACTCATGATAGGCTTCTGTTAGCATCCACAGATACAGTCACTTCTTTTGGCGTTAGCGAGTGGGGTAGCAAATGCCATTTGACTCCCTTAATTTGAGCAAGTATGCATAGTCTAAAGTTATCTTAAACTGAGGAGTGACTAAGGACTGAAGAATCCCCCTGTAAGGAATGTTATTAAGTAATAATTCCTTGTCTGGTATAAATATGAACATCTGCAGCTGGGTGCCGCAGTGGGACAGCTGCGGCTGTAATCTTGTAACCAGAAGAGGTACATGCACGTTGTGTGTGGGGGGTGGTTTGCTATTAACTGTAGTAGATGATGTGGTTAATAACTTCTTATGGCTTCTATAGGGGGCTTCTTCTTGTTCTCTTTCTTCTTGGAGCTGCCCACAGGCTTGTGAAGTAGAGGGGAAGGAACCTGCTGCCGCAGGTTTGCTCTGATATGCTGGGTTTTCTTTTGCTTTTTGAAGAGGCAATAGTGACAAAGTCTCTATAGCCCCTGTAGTCTGAGCCTCCCATGCAAACGCATCTGGATGGAGCCTTGTCCTGGGCAGCAGGGAGAAGGGGCCGAGGTCCTGGCGCTGGTGGCCTGGCTGTGAGCAGGGGCTCCAGAGATGGGTTCAGTTCTCCTGCTCCGGGCAGGAACAAGAGTGAGCAGATGTCCCCGAGGAGCCTTTGCCTGGGAGCGAGAAGCAAAGGCATCGATCCTCCTCCTTCCTTGAACCCCAGAGGGGCCATTGGGAGTGATGGGCACAGCGGAGTGTCCCACATGTTCCCCTACGTGTTAGTGGTTAAGGTCTGAAAACTTCTTGTGACTCAGCACTTTTTCCTGGGTTTCGGTTTTTGGTTGGTGTTTTGGTGACAGTCCCTTGCGGTGCCCCTGAGCGTTCGCTCTCAGGGTGCTGCACGGCTGAAAGGGGAAGCTGAAGCTGCTCAGGAGCCCAGCTGGTGTTAACGCTGCAGGATCGCCCCACTCGAGCTAAGGTTGTGAGACTGATACCATAATCCCTCCGGAGCCCCTTCCTTTCTTTAGAAAGAAAAAAAAAATCTGTTTTTGCTGACTCCTGAACCCACGAGAGAACTCGAGTTGCTGTGCGGATGTCCTGTTGCCCACAGCTGTGAAATTGCTCTGTGGCGTTTAGTGCTCCCTTGGTCTTTCCGTTGCCATCCCGATCCCAGATGAAGCCTGTATGTTAGGGGAGCAATACTGCTGACCATGGAACCATGGTCACTGGTAGAGCTGTGCTGCTGGAAGGGGCCCCCACGAGGTCAGCAGAGCCAGCCCCTGCTCTGGAGCGGATCTGATTAACCATTTTGTGGAAGCATGCGGAGGTCTCTGCACGTGGGCAATCATATCTGGCCCCCACAGAGCAGAAATCACTCAGCCTTTAGAGAAACCATTTGAGGAGGCTGTTTTAGCTTTTGCAGGGCTGGTCATCTTTCATTTTTCCTTTCTGAATGTCCTCAAATTCAGCCAGAAGGTTATTTTTAACTCATCCTCTCATTCTGGACTTAAATTCTGCTTTTCCTTTCTTACTGTTAACCGTCTTAATCTATTTAAGCTCTACTCCTTAAAATGTATTATCTGTTTTATTTTGCGGGAGGTCATCCGTTTCACAACGTTGTTCAAAACTGAGACCGAATCCTGGTGCCTGCAGCTGCAGGGTTGAATAGAGCATCATTGTCGTGTGGGGAGCATGGCTGTCAAAACACTTGGGGCAAAGTGAGTAACGTGAACGGCTCTCGTATGTTAAACTTTTACAGAAGAAAAGGCAAACTCGGAGGAACACTGCCAGCAGGCTTGAATATGGTGTTGTGCTGGTGATGATGTGGATCTTCACACTGTAACTTTAGGAAGAACACAGTAAGTTGCTTCTACCTGTGCACAGTCTTCATGGGGTGTTTTTTGGTGTGTAAAAAGCGTATGAGTAGGAACCGGAAGTCTAAAACTTCTAAAAAGAAAAATGATAACTTTCCATAAGTTGCCAGTCTGCGTCCCCAGGAAGATTTGCTTTCCTTGCCCACCAGCCTGCTGCCAGACTCGCCATCATAAAAACTCAACACGCTCTTGCATGTGCAGCCTCCAAGTCAGGTGCATCTTTATTTCAGGTCCTCTGGTACAAACAAGGGATGAACTGCAAGTAAAAAGATGGCAAGGAGAAAGCCATGTAACTAAACCCGATGTTGTGATATAGTAAATCTACATTGTGCTCTTTAGCTTTCTAGATGTCTTCCGAGCAATACGCAGTGGCTGTGATTAACATGGCTGTTGTACTGCCTCAAATAATAAGGTTGGGCCCTCAGGTAGGTGATAAACGTAGCCGTAATGAGCGTCGCCTTCGTGCATTTGATCACAATGCTTTGAATTTCAGTGTCGCTGTTGCCATGTCCTTGAGAGATTGCCTTATGCTGAAGGAAAGGGAGGTGGGTGACAATTTCTGTAGGAGTGTGAAAAACGCAGCCAGTGTGCTCCTCTGAGGTCAGAGCCTTTTTTTTTTATTTTAATTTTTTTTTGCGTTTATTTTGTTGTTAAATACGCAAGACAAAAGCTGCTGGTCTGTTCATAAGCCTGACCCAGTGATACTCAGAGTCTCTTCTCTGTGGCAGATGCCCCCCTTGCTGGGGGGTGCCTGCCCCCAGCACCGTCACAGGCATTTCCTTCTGCGCTCGGCCACGTAGCTATTTGGGGCCATGGAGCCTGCTGACTTCCAAGCTGGCTGCACGGATGCTCCCGAGCGGCATCCGACCTCCTTAAGGCAGCCTGGCCCCATGGGCAGCCCCCGCGGTGCGTTGAGTACCCAAGTCCTCACTCGTGCGGGCCCGGGGAAGAGGGACTTGGAAATCTCTCGTCCTTTCCTCTCAAGGCCGGCTCATTTTGCCAGGTTTAGCATTGCGGTAGAAAGGAACATAATGGATTTGCTGGGGTCAGTGCTTCCCAATGTGGTGCTTGACTTTGATGGGCAGTAGGGCTGCGTTGGCTACTCCAGACAAAGGATTTGTGGGTCTTGCAGGCTGCCATCTGCTTCCCGAAGCAAGGCTGGTTTTTGTGGGGAAGTGACGCAGTTTGCATGCAGAAAAAAAAGTTGGGTTTCATTTGAGAGCTTTTGTGTTTGAGCTTTTAATTTCAAAACTAAGTATAGTTTATTAATAGCAGGTCTCTTCCTACCCTTCCCCCTGTCCCCTCACAAGCTGGGCATCCAAATCTTATTAGTGAGGGGGGATGTCATCTAAAATGCCTGTATTCACCCCTAAATTGCTCTGTCTTTACATCCTAAGCTTTCTGAAACCGAGTGGCAGATTGCACTCGGGTCATTTGCATGTATCTTAGTACATACATGTTTAAGGGATGGATTAGGAAAGAAGCAACGTTCGGCAGTCACTTGACACTTTTTCCATTTATGCTTGAAGCTTTGGCTTATGCACTCTTAAAACCAACAAAAACAAATGTTCTCCTGCTGCCTATTAAGGGAAACCTTTACTTCCCTGCGGCGCTTTTTATTGAGTCGAGTCCCTTGAAAGGGCCAGCCTACCCGTGCGGCTGGCGAGCGCGACCCGAGGCGCTAACCTGCCTCGCGAAGCGGCTGTTTCCGTGTGTGACTCGCGGCGGGAGCAGGGACTCGCGGCGGGAGCAGGGAGCCGCGCGAGGCGGCCCTGGCGCGCAGGAAAGCCGCCTCCTGCGGCCCGTGACAGGAGCAAGGAGCGGCGCGTTGGCGCCCGCCGCCCCGCAGAGCAGCTCGGTCAGAGCGGCGCTATGTGCGCTGGCCGGGTCAGGGGGGATGAGGCAGCGTCTCCTCCCCCGGCTGGCGGCGGCAGGAGGGCCC